AGAAAGAAAGAAAGAAAGAAAGAAAGAAAGAAAGAAAGAAAGAAAGAAAGAAAGAAAGAAAGAAAGAAAGAAAGAAAGAAAGAAAGAAAGAGAAAGAAAGAAAGAAAGAAAGAAAGAAAGAAAGAAAGAAAGAAAGAAAGAAAGAAAGAAAGAAAGAGAAAGAAAGAAAAAAGAAAAGAAAGGAAAGGAAAGGAAAGGAAAGGAAGAAAGAAATATTTCAAGGAACTCACAAGGCAAAATAGATGAAAGCAGAACTGCTCTAGTTGAAGGGGACAGTTGAAGGGACTGTGGCTCCACACTTGACTCATAACCACCCATCGGGCCATCGGGCACACGCACAGAGGCCTAGCCCTCCAGCCAACAAAGTGTGAAAACCACTGATCCACATGTTCTTCTAACTTGTGAGATTTGATTTGAGAAGGTGTCTTGCATAAACCTGACATCACTAAAACAAATATTGTAAAGCATGCCACACTGACTTATTTCATGAAAAACTTTTAATTTTATCATTAGTGTTCAGAAGAAACAAAAATCATACTGCATTTTACAGGAGAACCACAGAATGTTATAACTAGTCACCATAACTTCTAACTGTTCAGTATGATTTGCCCTTCTTATTAAGTTTTTTATCTCTCTGATTATATCTCAAAAAATCATATACGTATATATATGATTTAGTATATGATACAAATCACATATATTATTTATATATGCATGTGATATAAATTATATAATTTAATGTTAAATATAATAATCTAATGCAAATAATTAGAATTACATTTCCACTCTAACTTTGCCCTTGAGTCAGCCTGGTGGCACATTTCCAATACGCTTTCCTCAGCACCTGTTACCTACAAATTAATGAATTTCAGTAAGAATGAATTATCTGAATTTTGGTGGAAGGATCATCTCTGTACCCTGGATGCTGGAAGTAGTTTCTAATTTTGGAAACCACAGGGATTTATGAGCTTAATTCACACATTTTACTGAAGAGAAAACTGACATACTGGAAAGTGAGACTGCTCTTCAGAAGTTGTGTGACATATGTATTAACACGAGAGGGATGAGCAAACAAGGCTGAACACACTGGCAAGACAACCTCTACAATACACATTCACCACCTTGGAAGATAAATGACCTGAAAAATAAAACACAAAACCAATTTATCTTCCTTTCCTTAACAGCTGTTCACAGACACAGGCCAGTAAGACACAGGGATTCCTTCCTGCAGTCCATCTTAAACCAAAGGCCACATCCCAGCATCCTTTCTTCCTTTCAGTCCTTCTGCCTCATTATTGTTATGTTTGCACTTAATGTAAAAGCCATCATCACCAATTAAATGGATGCTTAGAACTAGAAACTCTAATCTTACAGGTGTTGCTGGTGTTATTGTCTGTTTAATAAATGTATTATTGCTTCAGAAATGCTCCCAGGATGAAACTTGCATTTTTCTCCACCAGCTTTTCGTCAGAACACACATGGCATCCAGATGACATCCATCAAGAAACGAAGATCCCCAGATGATGAACTCTTATACTTACCAGTGAGTTCCACTTGGGTGTTCATAATTGTTTCATTTTCACCTTCTCTAAATAGGCTTTGACTCTATGGTCATATTCGGACTATCTGTGACAATGAGAAAGGGGTACTGAGGGCTAGTGAGATAAAAACAGAAGGAATATATATATATATATATATATATATATATATATATATATATATATATATATATATATNATATATGGTTGTCGGAAAAGTCATGACGTATTTTTTCTATGTTTTTCATTGCAAAAATGTGTCATGAATTTTCCAACTACCCAAATACACACACACACACACACACACACATTAAAAATCAGGCATTTATCCCTTCCCTCCATAGTTTTGGAATATATTAATAGTATATTAATTTACTTATTACTCATCCTGTCAAAGCTACTCTCCTAATATATATAATGTTTTCTTACTCAAATATTTAAAATTCATTTGTATTTCATTATTTAAGAATGGTAAGATTATCCTAGACAACATGGCCAAACCAGTTTAGGAATAAAACTTTGTTTGAAGGAGTTCACAAAGTTAATCATACAATAATCATAGAGAGTTGATTTTGATTTATTTTAGGGAGTGCTCTAAAGAAATCCAAGCAAGGTAGTATCCTCAATTATATGTGAATCACCAGAAGACTAGGTCCCACCATTGTGTAAGACCGTTGTTCATTCCTACAAGGAACATGCGTTCTCTCAAGTCCCTAAGGTGCCCTTTTTTAGACTATGGTTGCAGTTTGTTGAGTTCTTATTACCTTAGGTCTTTGCCATCAGAGTAACATCAAGGCTTTGGTAACCGGTATGGCCCTTCCTTGATGCCATCTAAACTGACATGAGACAGGCAAACAGCCAGATTTGACTGGGAGCTGCCACCCTGGGATTGAAGCTAAAGCAACTCAACAGGTCTGGGTGTGCCATAACTTCTTCCCTACCTTCTTTGGGCCCTGATCCTCAGGGAAATAGACTGCTTGCTATTAGAACAATCAGACAGTGTCTTGTTTCTCAGGCTACATATGGAATCTGACCTGTGTCCTTTAAATTAAACATTATCCTGATATACTAAATACAGCCGTCCCTCCCCTCCACCTCAGATACCAAATCTGTGAATGCTCAAGTCCTTCTATAAAATGGCAGAGAGGCAGCAGTCCTCCACAACCACAGATCAAAAATACTGTTTTCCATCCAAGGTTGATTGAATCCATGGATGTGAAATCCAGGGTTATGGAGCGCCAACTGTATATTTACTGAAAAAAATATGTGTAAGTGGATCCACACAGGTCAAATGCATGTTGTTCAAGAATTAGCTATATTAAAAAAAAAAATCTTAACATGTTTTCAGCTGCAGAAATAGGAACCACTTGACAAGCTGTTTTTAAATAAAATTTTGGTTTGTAGTAGTGAAAGAGTTACCCTGTAATCAGTTACATCTTTTTTTTTTTTTTTTAGTGAAGAATTAGCCAAACGAAAGTGTGTGAAGAAAAAATAAAAGAAAACCTCAATATAATGTGAATTTGGTTGATATTTGTTGAATGGCAAATATGCTAGATCCCAAGCATTCAGGGATTAGCACGATACAATTCTTACCTTCAAAGAGCTTGTCTTCTAGTGAGGAGACAAATAGGTATAATGTAATGAAATATTTGTTTCAGTAAAGCTAGACATGGCACTGTGGGAGCACATAGGAAGGACAGAAGACTCGGCCTGCAAGAGTAAGGTCAGGAGAAGCTTCTCAGGGAAGGTGATTTCAGAGAGAGGATGAGTAGGAATTAACCCAACGACAGATAGAGAAAAGCTTTCCATTTCTGAATTCTGACAAATTCTGCCTGTCATACCTAGGGAGGGGACTGGCGTGAGACAAGTGAGGTCCCTAGGATGCAACATTTAAGTAGGCAGGCACTCTTAGGGCCCTGCAAGTGCCCAACGTGCCCTGCTGGCCTCACTCTAGTCCTGGCCCTGTTCCTACTTTTGAAATCTTTGAAGAGACTCTCTTAAAGAGAGAAATACATTTTACCCCAGCTGAAAGTTTCCAGCTGATAATTACAGGTGACGTTTGTTATTTGTGAGAGTTATGCTTTATAAAGTCACTGTGAACACTGCCAGCAAATACTGATCCATTGCTCCCAGGGAAAATGTAGGGTTAGCTTTCTGTGAGCCTCTGGTCACAGCATTGTAAGCAACTGATCAATACATAGCCTTGTTTTTTTGCGTGTTTCTGTTTAAAGACACGTTATTTAATATATACTGTTCACTATTAACGTTGAATTTACAGCAGATAGCACTATAACTCATGCCCCAGTGAAGCTTACCTATCCTGTTCCCCATGAGGCACATTCCAGCCTTCTTACGCTCTGAACATTAGACAGCACTTCAGCATCATACTCCAGGACCATTTTAAACAGCGAATTCCCCAACAGAAAATGTGAAAAAGGTAGCACTGAACAGACCATGAAAAGCAGACTTATTCACAGCCCGGAGACTGAAAAAGAAGGCAGAGCACTACCTTGTTCAAACTCAGCGGGGAACGTGCATGGGTGACGCAACTGTGTCTTCACTCTATGCATGTCTGCAAATGGCCGCACAGTGCCCCGAGTGTTGAGTTTCATGTTATAAATCAATGTTAGCAAGTACACAAATTCATCAATACAGAATCCATGAGAAATGGGGATTGGCTGTCCTTGTGCTTCTTCAGTTCATCATTTTTCTTCTCTCTGCTGCTTGTTTGCCCAGGTGAGAGGCCGTGAGACATACGAAATGCTGTTGAAGATCAAAGAGTCCCTGGAACTCATGCAGTACCTTCCTCAGCACACGATTGAAACATACAGGCAGCAGCAGCAGCAGCAGCACCAGCATTTACTTCAGAAACAGTGAGTGGACCACATGTGTCATTTTAGAAGGTGCTTGTAAGAGTAATTGTCAGCAGTAGGGTGACCAGTGGGTGGTGGAGAATATGAGGCTGTGAGACAGCAGAACATCACAGGTTCCAAGGAGCTGGGGCGGGGCACCTTTTTCAGTTTCCATAACCTCCCGTGTTCTTTTTCACAACCTTCCCTTTGAGAAATTCTGCCTGTATTCTGAAATTGAATCCAAATACTGCAGCTGAATTACAGAGTCTCACAGTAACGGAGGTGGTTCCCTTCTCTCTACCTCATCCATATGCACCTATCAATATAAGTATTTTGAGTACATACTCTATTCTAGTAATAATGTATATATTTTAAAACATGTAATATTCCTTCATCATAATGGATTATTTTGTACCTTTCCTGGGATGCACACAGTACACATTTGGGAAAACTGTTATAGAGGAGGGACAGCACATTGGTTTTACCATAAATGACTTCCTGGAGTGTTGTGTTGAGAAGGATTCTGAGACCTAGTACATGATCACTGGGACAATGCAGAATGGCAAAGTAGCATCATAACACTATTTTAGTATCCCTGTTCTAGGTTGTCTTCCAGCAATACATTTTTGCATAAATTGGGCCAGGTTGTGGAACCACACATGCACACAGCCTGTTTATATATTAATTTTTACTTTGACACTTGGATCTTTGATGATGTTAATTGTTTTATGAGTAACCTGAATCGAATAGCTGTGATGGAAAGGAAGAGAAGTTGGTGAATTAGGATGCTTTTTATACTTATCGTTCTGTGTTTAAGAATAATCACTTATTTGCTTACTTAAAATACTGCATCTACACTAGACTTATTGCCAGAATCTTTGCAGATATATTTAAGATATATACATTTTGGGCTCATTTGAGTAATTCAAACATTTGACTTTATTCTTCAGGCAAAAAGAAATGAAGCCAAAACCATCTTGCCTAAGGCAAAGATTTTTTTTTTTACAATAAATAATGGGCTTTTTAAATTGATGTATTATTAGTAGTATAGAGAACTATGGAAATTATAACAAAGAGGGCTTGTTATTCTTTTTTTAATCAACATAAATGCAGTTGAGATGGTTGGACCACATCTCTGACAGTCAGGAGGTGTCGTCTGAGCACCTGTTGATAACAGGGTGTGGCATGAGCAGAAGAGGGATAGAAAAGAAATGTGTTCTTTCTTTATAGGTTTTTGGCCCCTTGATACTTTAAGACCCTTTTTGCTTGGAAGGGATCCCACCATTTTACTTATAGAATAAAAGGTTTGTAAATCATAACCATAAGCTTTTTAATAAGGCTGAGTGGAAAAGTTAATCAGGAGGTTCCTTGAGGACACAGAGTATTCCTAAAGGAGAATTAGAACTCAGAGTTGCAGACAGAATTCCCATTGTCAATCCTATGGATTCTTTAGGCTAGCAGGTAGAAATTTACCTTAACATAGTCAAGTGTACAACTTAGTGCTTCTAAAATCATCCAACAGAGTTAAAAGAAACAGACCTGTAACATAATTTATAGACCCAGAGGGAATGTGCGCCTTTCCCAAGATGTGGATGCCATGGCATTAAGAAACTCTCCCAAATTGCTTCCGTTCACTCTGGAAATGTTTGGCTCAGCCAAAATGACCTCTGAAGAATGACATGGCAGCTGATTATGCTCAACTACTTGCTCTGTGATCCTTTTTCCTGCCCTTTTGCCAGTTAACAGGAAAAGTATTGTCAGGCCAAACTGATACCTATTAAATGGTCTGGTTTAAAAGGTCTGACCATCTAGCTCAGGGTTTGGTAATTTTTTCTTTCTTTCTTTCTTTCTTTTTTTTTAATTTTTACTATTGGTAAAGCACCACTAGTAAATATCATAGGCTTTGGTCCATGCGGCTCTTGCAGCTACCCAGCTCTGCCCCTGTAGCCCAGAAGCACCACAGATAATAAGTAAACAGATGAGAGTGGCAGTTACAGTAAAGCTTTATTTTATGGACACTGAAACTCAAACTTTATATCATTTTCACATCATGAAATAGCCTTCTTCCTTTGAATTTCCCCACCTTTTAAAAATGTTAACATCATTCTTGACCTATAGGCCAGATTTGGCTCATTCACTGTAACTTACAGTCCTTGTTCTACTAGATAAATGAAAGGCTGTTTTTTTATGGCTTCTTGAGGCTCAGATTTTTTTATTAGGAATATTTGGAAGTTAATATGTATATTCTAAAATAGAGAAGGGTTAAAAGGTTTTAGGAAGTCTTAATGTGATTTTTTTAAGGTAATATTTCAGTATCTAACAAAACAGCAGTCTTCAACAGAGATCTCTTTGGTCCGAGAAAGTTAGGCACGCCCGTCTAGATACAAAATACGGTTAATGATGCAACCCCATGATCAGCTAAGACTTAGTTGATTTATGTAACCAACTATCGGTGAAGATCTGTTACGTGAAAGCATTAAGGATAGAGATGAGAAAGATGGGGTTCCTGCCTTCCCATAGTGTATGATTCAGTGGTGAATCTCTAACCAGAACACCTTTTGAATGCTCAAGTCTGGAAATGTATTCGCAGTATCGTGTAAATTAGTACAATGTTAAACAGCTCCTGTAGATCATACAATAAGGGGAATAGTTTCATGTCATAGTTTTAGAGACTTTATAATCTAGGAGGATCTACCCCAGTTAGGCGGGGCATGGACTATTTGTGTTTGTTTACATGGCATCCATGAGAATACATTGCCCGATGTTCCCATATGATGAATTATCCAGTGCTTATTTATTGTCTAACCGGCTGGCATTGCCCTAAAGGAAAATTATTATAATTCTTATTTCATAAAACAATTTATTTCATCAAAGAAGAAAATGCATCCTAAAATTGTGTTATTTGGAAAAGCCCAAAATATTTTAGAGACATATTGTTACTTTTTTGCATGTGTGGCCACAGATAAATAGTGAGGAATTAATAGCCTCATAATTACCGGGGTCGTCCATTTGAAAGTATCATTGCATGTTTTGGAGTTGTTACCTCACACAGTCTATAAGAGCTAACTTCAGATGTGATAACTTGTGCATGGAAATCTAACAGACTGCAAAATGAAATCTTTGCAAAATATAGACATTTGGTCTAATTATGCCTTTGTTACATTATGTATACATGGCTCTCAGATGATTGACATGCATCTATATAAATTCTCCAGTTGCTATATTCTTCAGGCTGAGTTTTTTTCAGCTCTTTTATTTTCATGCAAATCTCCAAGAAAGAGCATGAATGACTAGACAAAGAAAAATGGAAATCTAATTCCCTGGCAATCAGTTGAAAAGAATAAATCAGCTTGGAAATGCCTACAATAGCCTGTGATTTCTTTTCCAAAAACATAGTACCAAGTTTATGCTGGTAAGGAATCAATTTTGTGCTTTTCTTCATAGTAGAGGGAAAATTAACGGGAAGGGAATACACTTTCTACAAAGTGGCAATCAAATATTTTCAGTTTAATTGCTTCTATTAGATTCTCGCTATGTATGTTCTCTCTGCTTCCTTTTTGTTTGTGCATGGTTTTCCTTTTTTAAAAACTTCTTCCCAATTACCTTCATGATCATAGGCTTTATGAAAGATAATTTTTTTTTACTAAGTTTTTGTGAATCAAATGGTTACAGGTATAAATAGGCTTTTTACCACTTATAAAGAAATTTGATTTTAAATGATTTGTTCACATTGCAATAAATATGGGGGTTATGTTTATAGAGGCCAGAATCTAGTGGGAGGACAAGTTAGACCCATTCTTGAACTAGACTAGCCTTGCCTTCATGTTTTCAAGGGATGCTAAATCTTAAGACAGCTTCACAAAAGCCACTTCGGACCTTTTTAGCATCTTTTATTTTATGTGCTTTAGACCAATACTATTTCTTTTTTCTTTTTCTTTCTTTTCTTTCTTCTTTCCTGAAGTTTATCCTCCTGGGCTCCCATCCTGATCTCAAGCCAACATTACTTCGTTAAAATTTTACTTAGCTTAACTCTTGATTTCCTGTGGAAAATTATTTCTGGGGTTTCTACAGAATGGATTCATTTTAACTTTAATACAAATATGCAACCTAGTGAGTAGCCCTTCGTGTTTTCTTTTCCTGTATGATCACTTGATGATTGTGGCTCATTAGTAATACAGGTCAGAGAATATTAGAGCAAAACAGGATCTACAGGACCATAGTTCTAACTTCTTCATACCACAGCTTGGGAAACTGAGGCTCAGGGAACTACACCTGTGATTTCATGTCCAGCTCATAATAAAGCTAAGATGAGAATCACATTTGGAAGACACAGCTTTTTGCAATGTTCTGATCTGCATCAGTTAAGAAAGTTGTAATAATAAGACTAAAGCAAGCATCTACTGCCATGTTTCTGTCTCTGTATCAGTCAGTTGGTATTTATCCTTGTGGTTTTAGTGTAAAGTCCTATCTCTTTAAGCTGATTTGGCTATGCTTTTCTTCAATAATGTTGATAATTTTTCCTCAGATTCACATAGCTGGGGTGGAGAAGGCAATATTGTCAGCGTCATCAATGTAGGAAAGCAGAGGACACATCTCTAGCTCAGTGCTATATGTGATTAATACCATATTTCTAAGCTTAGTCTAGAGAGCCTTCACATTTCCAGAATATTCGTTTGAAATTGCCAGTTTCACAGATTTTTTTTAAAAAGCAGATGGATATTGGCAATTTCATGTGGGTCTACCTTATAGGTCATGGAACTGGCCAAGCTTCACACAGTGTTAACTTCTGAACTTAAGAGCTATGTTAGAAAGTTGTCAGGGCAAAGATTTATTAACTCTGTATTGGTAATGAGGAAAAATGTCAGATTAATTAAGTTTAATAGGTAGGATCACTTTTCTAAGTTCCCACATCTCATTGCAGAACTATCTCAGTTCTAGGTCAAAGTTTGAATCCCTATGGTCCATGCACTCTTATCATAACAAAAACGCGATTTTTACACATTGTCTCATTCAGCCCTTGC